AAGTCCTCACATCTTAGAGTTGCCAAGGTTGAGAAACACTGCTCTAGATCCTCAACTTCAGCAACTTTAAGATGTGTGGACTTTAACTCCCAGAATGCTGCTGGCTGGGGAATTCTGGGAGTTGAAGTCCTCACATCTTAGAGTTGCCAAGGTTGAGAAACACTGCTCTAGATCCTCAACTTCAGCAACTTTAAGATGTGTGGACTTTAACTCCCAGAATGCTGCTGGCTGGGGAATTCTGGGAGTTGAAGTCCTCACATCTTAGAGTTGCCAAGGTTGAGAAACACTGCTCTAGATCCTCAACTTCAGCAACTTTAAGATGTGTGGACTTCAACTCCCAGAATTCCCCAGCCAGCAGCATTCTGGGAGTTGAAGTCCACATATCTTAAAATTGCTGAGATTGAGAAGCCCTGTGCTAGATGAAGGGTTGAACCCTTAATTCCCTGCTTATTAAGACAGTCTATCTGGCTATTCTTGGAAATCAGATGGTAGAGCAGCTAGAATCCTTAGTATGATCCACCTGGATCCTTCTTAGGTGAAAGGGAGATAGAAAAGACTCAGATGTGTTTCCCAGTTTGGAGGGCTCAATGTTTTATATACTGTTGCTCCCCAGTTAGCTAGCTTCGCAGGAATCAGACATGAACCAGAACAGCCGAAAGGAAACACAATTTGGTGACTCTAAATTATGGGTCCTCTGCCTAACCCTCCCCACTCAGCAGTCATTCTATCATATGGGGAGCTAGCAGGAGTAACAAAGCTGTGATAGTTGTGTAAGATGTAGAAATTAAATTCGGCAGTGGATCTAATTAGATAAAAGTGCTCTTCATGTTCATTTTTTTCACAGGAAGAGTAATTTTAGGAGGGACACCTTTACTTGATTCCGGAAAGAAAGGGATTAGAGACTGACAAAGTTGCGTAAATACCTGTGATTGTGGTTTACAGAATGAAGAGTTAGAGAGAAAACGTATTATTTTAACTGCCGGGAAACAGAAGAGAGGAAGTCAAAGAAAAAAGAAAAAGAAAGGAAAAAACCCACCAGATGACCACCCAACATTTCTCTTACGGCCATCTAGGCTTGCCATTTCTGGCCAGGAGTTCCCCCCCCCCCAAAAAAAGTGCGATTCATGCTTTCAGTAAAATGTGTTTCTTAAAAAAGCAAAAGCTTTCAGAGGAGGAGGAAGATAAGGAAGTCAGAGCCATGCTTTCCAACATATTACAGTTTAAATAGAAGCTTTTTTGCTTCCCAAAGGGAAACACTGTACATATGCCCTGCAACTTGAGTGGCTCTGGAATTTTTAAAAGTGAAAAATGAGGAACTGTAAAGATGTTCCCTTCCCTTTCCTCTCCCCCTCTTGTCTTCCCCCCTGCTCACCATCCTGAGATCGTAAGATGCATAATCAAGGATTTGAGGGATGCATGATTTACCTGTGTTTTTCTGTTGCAGGCCCATCTGCTAAATATTCCAAGCTGGAATTGGAAAGAAGGCGATGATGCCATATGCCTTGCGGAGCTTAAGCTGGGGTTTATTGCCCAGAGCTGCCTGGCACCGGGCCTATCAACAATGCTGGCAAACCTCTTCTCAATGAGATCATTTATAAAGGTAGTGTCTCATTTTATTAGGGGATATTTAATGGGATTCAATTTGTCATGGGGCTGAGTAGAGTGCACAGCTTAAACTCAAAACAGAAAGAAATACATCAACATTAAAACACAGAACAATATATACCAAAGAAAAATAAAACCCTTTGCTATTACAAATTGGGCAAGGGGCCAGGTTCCTTCCTAATTATATTGTTATTTTTATCTGGCACATCCATGGCCATTAGAGATTTTTCAAAGTGCAATCTTTCTGACTCTTTATTTCTGTTAGATAAACCACATGTTTATCAACATAGAAATCCTTTGCAGTTAAAAATATGATCTCTATGCAATCCATATGGCAACAAACCACCAACAGGAAAAAAAAAAAAAGACATAACAGTTTTTCTTTCTTGAATTTTTTCCCCTCCATCAATTGGCTTTGTATCCCAGACTGCAAGTATAAATATGGAACATGCATCTGTACCAAAGCCCAAACCTCCAATGATAATAATTCATTCATTCATTCATTCATTTCATTTCATTTCATTCAAGAGGATCTTTGATATTTATGAGAAAATCGTAATAATGTATCCCAGTAATGCTCAAACATTCTCAGGCATTTGTACCAGTTTCTTCCCTTAGTATTAATTTGCTCTGATTAATTTTTTGGGCCACTCTGTCCAGATTGGGAATTTGGATTCTTTTGGACAAATGGAATCCAATGAAATGAACTGCGGTCTCGGAAAGCCATGGACTGGAAGAGTTTGGTAACATGTACAGTCAACATGAAAATAGTTATCAGCAGTCTTTACTACAGCATAACCAATCTTGCAAGCTGAGATTGGAAGATGCTATTAGAGATGCTACTGAATGGAATACATTTGTTCTACTTTAGTCCCAGAATTGCTTTTAATATTTAAATATTACGAGACAAGGAAGGGATGAAATCCACTTATTCTCCCCACCCCACCCCCCCGCAACCCACATAGTTCACATTTGTTGTCTCCTGAATGGCTTTGTAGTGTTTGTCTTCTGTCTCATTAAACAACCTTCTTCTTCTTTTGGATGGTGGGGAGAACATTTATGAAGTTCCATTCTGCTGATCCTGAAAATCTCTTCCTCCTGAAACATTTGGAGCTGCGGTAGGATTCCTCAAGGAGCTTGCCTCAAGTTTCTCTCCATGAATAGATAGCAGCTTGGGGTGGGGTGGGGTGTTGTCTTGTCCTCTCCCTGCTCCTCTTGAAGAAAGGAAAAATCCCCTCCTGAATAAACACGATCGGTTTGGCTTATGGAGGACTAATCCTCAGCATTTCCTTAGTGATATTAGAACTCAGTATTATTCAATGCTCATGATGCAGGACAATCTTTTTTTTAAAAAAGGTTTCATACAATGTTTAATTTATACCCCATTTGCCTTCACCTTTGCAGGTGAGAACATTAGTTAAAGTAATCTGGTCTCACATTGTCTGAGCTACCATGTCATTTCTTTGTTTTTTTACTTAGCACATAGAGCGAACCCAGCTAGCCATGGTCTGTTCACCCATTTCCAACCTTTCCCTTTGTGTTAATCATTGCATCGTCATTATATATGTTTGAAGGCCACCATAAAAGGTATGAGTTGGAAACATGGAACCCACAAGCATCTAACTGGGAGTCCATGTTCCAAGGCCCTTCCATTAAACAATGACATCTGATTGGACCCAGAATTGTGCCTTCTCTGTGGCAACACCTACGTTATAGAAAGACTGTATTCCAATATCATGAAGTCTGTTGCCACTTCAAAGAGAGATTTAAAGGATTCTACCCCTTTGTCTGGATTAAAAAGGTCCTGGGGAGATGATGATGATGATGATGATGATGATGATGATGATGATGATGATGATGATGATGATGATGATGATGATGATGATGATGATGATGATGATGATGATGATGATGATGATGATGATGATGATGATGATGATGATGATGATGATGATGATGATGATGATGATGATGATGATGATGATGATGATGATGATGATGATGATGATGACGACAGCAACAACAACAGCAGCAATGATGCACAAGGCATCAGGAAACATCATTACAGCCAGCAACAACTTTGTTGAAAAGTGTCCTGTGCAAGGTTATTCTACAGCTCCCACCCTACCGCCACCCCACCCCCAGTGTTTCTGGGACAAGGCAGCAGCCTTCTCAATTTCTCACATGTTTTCAGACTAATGAGGAAATGCTTCAGGCAAATAAATTCAGAGCATAATATACATGTTAGAAGATTGGCAGAAAAATCTTAGCAGAAGTCCTGCCATTTTGGGAAAATAGATTGAAATGGAGAGTTTCCTTTCCCTCATTCTTCCCAGCTGATTACAGAGTGATAGAAAACATCATAAATATTTCATTTGTCAATGACAAATCTACATGATCAGGAGTGACACTGCACGCATTTAAATGATTATGGCTTAATTTTGCAGCCAAGGTATTTCAGTAACCTCTCTACCCAACATTAGCAGCAAAACAAACCTAGAAAACTTGCAGTTGAATATTTTGTTTCTTTTGCTTTTAGAGCAGCAGTTTTCATATGGAACATCTTAATTTGCAGCAAACTTGCACAAAGGAAAATAAATCCAAGATAACCCAAGTCCATGCCATTCTGTTGCGCATAACTGAAGGGATTTATGAAAATGCTTCAAGTTAAAAAAAAAACAAAACAGAAATGTAATGAGCAGAATTCCAAGCAATGGCTTCTGCTAGTGAACAGTGTTCAAGTTGAGTAGAAGTCCATTGTAGGTAAAATAGCAAAGCATTGATCAATGTGTCAACATTTTTAGGCTCCTTCATCCTCCCCTTTTGCTTGTCCTTTCTGAATGAGAAAGAAAAATGGGAGGAGAAGAAACAGTAGCCTGGTTCACCTTCTCCCAAGGCAGCAGCTGAGATATAATTCAAAATTTAAAACAATTGTGGCAAAGAGGAATGGGGAAGAAGCCTCCTTGAAAGACATCTTCCTGAAGGACATCCTGCAACCAGACAGTCCTATAGGCAGGCTCTGAAACTGGAAACTTGCAGCCCTATTGCTGAAGCCACAGAATGATTTGACTGTGAATTATAACCCTAGAGTTGGAAAGGATTATAATATTTAGGCCAGTGAATCCCAACCCAGTTCAAGGCAGGAGTCTGAATGAAAGCCATACTATAGATTTGCTCTCCAGAAATATCTATCACGTCTCCCTATTTATTGCCGGTGCCTTGTCTCTCCTCAAAGGAAACTTAGCATCAGAATATTCTACTGCCTGAGGCAAGGCAGTGATTGTTTCTTTTTGATGTATTTCGAGGGGACAGACAAAATATTCAATCTTACAGATGAGATACGAAGCATGTCAACTACTTTATAAGGTCCAGACTTCTTTAAACTTTCTCCTCCTTCCTCATCTTTTCCCTCAAATCTCCCTTCCTTACTTCTTTGTCTTGCCTCTGTGCTCTGTTCCTTTGAGCTGTTGGGCTGCACCATTTTCCAGCCCTGTTTCTCTTAAACAAGTGAGAGTGGAGTTTCATCATCTTCTTACCAAAACATTTTTGCTGGAGTTTCTCCCCTCTCCCCACCAGCATTTTCACTGCTACTTCTTTTTTCCCCCAATCTATCTTTTAGAATACCTGCTTATAATTTTGTATTTGCATGAGAAGGAGAGATTATAATCATTCTTAGAATGTCAAGTCCTTCCAAAATAAGTGAATATGCTTGTGTAAACTCTTACATTTATATAACCTCTAGGGCTTTCCATTCATAGTTCATAACAAAATAAAATACGCAGTTCACAGGTTTCCACTCCAATTCTGCTATTCCCCCTCAAATTAACCATATTTATAAGAGTATTGGGTGTGGGCGAGAAAGAAGCAAATGTTGTGTTTCTCTACCAAAGCCAAACTAGCTCATTGTTTTAAAGAGGGTGATCAGGAATCACATGTAAACAGTCGCTGAACTTCAGTGGCATTGTTAGTTGCAAATCTGATATAACATGTGAATGTATGCAAGAAAGATCATCTGATGGTAGGTCAATCAATCAAACTATGGCATAACTTTATGTGGAGTTTTCCCTCATTGGTGCCCTGTTTATAGGAAAATAAGGACATGTATACTTCCTCATCCTAATTTAAATCCTGCATCCGTTTAGCCACTCCATGTGTCTGATGAAATGTGCCATAGTTCATAAATCTTATGCCTTTTAATAAAATGTGTCTTCCTGATTTTTGACTATCTTTGATTAACATGGCTCTTCCCATACAATGTTTGCCATGAGAGTTCCTAGAGGGTGAGGACTACGGGACAGGTTTCCAAGGTGTCGTACTTCTCCCCAAGAAGCTGGACTGGTACACATAAAGAGGCACACAAGAATAAAAGAACTTCTGATGTATATCTTTAATCAGTATCGAGGTTCTTGTACCTCTGCACAACCTACGTAGAGGGTTAGTAGCAACTCTTTTGTTGAGTCGTAGGGATATTTTCTATCTGTTTCTTGTTTTGGGAATGGCCAGATCTGATATCAGGCTGTGTTTTTGACCATTTGAGAAACAACTCCCACACAAGGGTCATAGAGATTTTTTAAATTGTGATGAGATCAGGTGATCCTGTTAGAACTGTTTTTTTATTATTATTATTATTTTTTAATTGCATTCTGGGAGGATGAAGCCAGTTAACAGCAGTATGGCACCATGTCCTGACAACAGTAATAGGGTTTGAGTGTCATTATATGATTTTCCCATATCATGTTATAGTTTGCTTTAAACATGTTAAAGCATGTTCAACAAGCAATAATAATGTGATGAGCATGCCATGCTAAACTGTAAACCATAGTTTACAAATCATAATTGCTGTGTTCACCTATCAGGCTGAGCCAAAACCAAACCAGACATATTTGGCCTAATGCAATGAGGGAATCAACCCCTTGATTTGATCTCACTAGCTAATTTTTTGGCTGCAAGGTTATATTTATGAGATACTTAGGACTGATTTGCTGAGTACAGAATGCAAAAACAAGGGGTGAATGTAAGTGAGCCAGAAAGTTTTGTAATAAATTCATACGTGATTTTTAAAAAGCACTTCAAATGGCAGGAGGAACAACTGTTTGCTTTCCTTTTATGAAAACCCTGTGATTCAAAATAACACTCCAAGTTAGTTGAGCCCTGTGATTGCTGATATTAGATACGTTAAATCACTTGTTTCTATACAATATTGGCTAATAAAGTTGTAAGAACAACAGTGGATTTCATTTCAGCACAAAGGTTTTAGCTATAAAACTTTTGTTTGTTTTGCTGAATAAACTCATTCAAGGCATTGGGTATAAATCTCTCTTTATTAAGTATTGTAGTTGAAGAAGATAGATGTGCTAGTTTCTTTTCAATACATGGACAGGCCCAGGTTTTATCACCACTTCATTTTTGTTTTTGTGGATTTACTGGAAGAACTTGATATATTTCTCAAATGTCTTTGGATAGTTCAGAAGATGGATCTCTTCTGCTTGTGAGATGATAAACATTTCCAAACTGTATCAGAGTAAAAAATCAGTTGTAAATGAAAAGTTTGGAAAGAGAAGGCTACTTTTAAGTTTTTATTGAGCAGCATAATCATAAAAGGGAGCTACAGTCCTATAATGTTTGACTGGTGGTGATTCTTATCTAAAAACCATGTTCCACTGGGTCCTTGGGAATATCTGGGGCAGTATCCTGCCTGTCAATTTTGGAGCTTTGCAAAAGTGCAGAAAGAAGATACGGTAACTCACTTGTGCTTCAAGTGAACAGCACTTTGCCAGTTTGATGATGACTGTAATGAGTTGAGCAAAAAGACTGTTTTTTTTCAAGCATTGTAGAAACTAGGTTCTTGAATGTTTGTGAAGTTCCTAGAAAGGTATCTAATTTTCGGAATTAATCCAACCCAATGCATATTTCATTCCAAGTGGTAAAGCATTGTTTTACTAAGTTTGCATTCCCCAAAGCTCTCGCAACATATAAAAAGATTAATCGAAAATATCCACATGTTAAATTTTGCCAGCAGCAATTTTGCACAAGAAATTTTCTTAAATATGCTTTCTTTGCATCTAGTCAATAATCAAAAGGGGAAGAAGGTCTTCAACTAGCTGCAGAGTCAAGCACTGTTCCCTTATTCCAGGGAATACCACATCAACAGTAGGACTTCTGGATGTACTTTGTAAAGTGCATGGAAATTTACTAAAGAAAGAGTTGGACATTCAATAATAACAATAAGCCATGAACCCATGCTGTTGCATGCCTAATGAACTGCTTAATAGTGGAGACTTAATGTAGAAAAATAATCATTGGAATATTGTTGACTGAAAAATTATTCGGGAATTATTAAAGTAATACGTATAGGACAGAGTGGTAAAGCTAACTTAACAAGCCCATGTGGTTTAAAAGTCAATTCCAGAGTTTAGGGTTTCCAAAAGGTATTTAATGCCAATAGCTATCACCAAGCACTAAATCAGATGAGCAGGCTAGTCGAGCAGGGCACTTTTTATCCAGGTAAGATTTCAGACTGAAGAATTTGTAGTCACGTGATTCATGTCTTCAGATGCGTTGGTCATCTGATCTTTTTTTTTACAAAGCCCTTTTCAGAGGTTCTCTACCCAAAAGAATGAAAGGACAGAAATCCATTTGTTCTAGCAAGTTGTTACCCTTCTTTAGGACTTACTAATCCTTTCATTAATAATTAAGTATTCATTAAATTCTTTTTAATTAAGTAGCTGTTAATTCATTACCAGCTTGAAGGAGTCATGCCCAGTCTAACGCAATGTTTTCCTTTTTTGACCGAATCCCACTTCCATGTTTTTCCGCCTTGTGATCCATTTCTCTTTTCATGACTGGCCCTCCAGCCCTCTTGTAAACATTCCCCATGCTGATAAACAGACACATTTGTTTATATATACAGACGTTTGTATACCATCTACTTCCTAAGACTCAAGGTGATTTACAAAATGACAAAGATAAATACACAGACATATGTCTATTTGCTGCAGCCCATGGGGGAAGCCAGCTATTCAGGCAAAAGAGAATAAAATATTCTGCACAGTCATCAAAGCTCCTTAAGATCCCTGTATCCTATACATATTATATTAGTGACAATCCAGACATAAACATGATCATAAATACAACTGTTTTCCAAGGTTTGCATATGTTTTCCCACCATCTTTTTCTTCCTGTTGATTATTCATAGAACCATGTATAAAAACTTAGCAGGCATAATTCAGAGCTTTTTTTTTTTAAAGAAAAGTTGAATATCAATACCAACCTTAATTATCTGAAATTGATTTGTGTTATTCACATCCATTTCCTGTTAAAAATGTAGCTAGAGACTACAGTGCTTTTTCCTTCCTCCATCTCCTTTCTAGATTGAAGAGGACACATGGCAGAAGTACTACCTGGAAGGAGTTGCTAATGAAATGTACACAGAGTATCTTTCTAGTGCCTTTGTTGGTCTGTCATTCCCTACTGTTTGTGAGTAAGTACTTTTACAACCATTAAGTCTTCTTCTTTCAAAGAGATCTTTCTTCTAAATCCTAATATGATTGTTGGCTAAAGTGATGAAAAACAAAGTACTAAAGCCATAGCAACACTGAAGATTTCCTCCAATGCAAAAGTCCTCCATGCGCTTGATATCAGATAGTAAAGTGTGATTTGGAAGCCCACTAGTAATCCAATTTTAGGGCTTCTTAAAACCATAATAAGGGCTTTGTGTATTCTGCAGTCATGCTATGCCAGTGTAGAAACTGGTATTTGGTACAAAAATCAGTAGCACAACACAATACATTGAACCTTAAAAAAGGACAGAAGGAACATGTTTGTAGGCTATACAGTTGTGAAAATTGTCTTTCAAAGCAGGGCAGGCTTCATTTGGCAGTTGAAGAGCACAGGAGGTAGATGATGGTAAACTTCTAAACCCCTCTTCCGGCTTTATATCCACATAATTTAATCACCAATGTTAAAATCACTGTGTATTAGCCAGTCTATACAATTTTAATAATGGAAAAATGTGTTTTGCTCTGGATACTTGAAATTACATATATCTGCAGAGATGAATAAGACTTCCATTGATAAGAGGGTGGACTTTTAGCTTGCTGTATATCATTGTCCATGGCTAGCAGATCCAAAATTTAGTTATATTTTCTTAAATCTCTTTCCCTCACATGTACATTCCAATATTCAGCAAAAATCTAATTTTGACATCCATATGATTACACTTAACATTAAATAGTCATCTAAATAGCAGGGATATGAAGACTAAGTTATTTTAAGAATGTGTAATGTTTATTATGGATTATATGTGTATTTTGTGCCTATCACATGGCTCCAGCCAAGAAAGCAGCAACAGGGTGAGCAAAAAGGCTTCTAGAGAGCTGTCAAAAGGAATTTTTTTACAAAATTTTGTTTGGAACTGAATTTCACAGAAGGCACAATCTGATAATTCCTAGATATATAGGTTCCCCCCATGCTGGAGGGGGTGTTGAAGTCCAGTTTCTGACTCTGGGAGGGGAGAATTCAATATCACACCCCAGTTGTGTGTTTTGTTGGACACATGGCACAACAAGAGAGGTTTAAAATCTAATGAATCCTAAGAGTCTGTTGCTATGTCCTAATTCAGGATAGAATATAAACCAAGACTTTGTTTTTCTTCCCATTGCTTTTGATGGGAAGAAAGTGGGTTGAAAGTGGCTTTATTAATTTAATAAAATAGCTCCAAAAGAGGACAACAGCTCCCTCCCATATCACAAGGGTAGAGAATAATTCAGAATTCTCCAAGGTTGTAAAATTCAGGATAGAATTGTATTGACCCAACCTTTCCTCTTCCAAAAATAAAATAAAACAAAATAAATAAAATAAAATAAACCCTAAACCCTATTGATTTACATAAGTATCACAATAAAATATATGTAACAGCTTTTTTTTTTTTAATCCATTCAATCATGTCTGATTCTTGGAGACTGCCTGGACAAGTCCCTGCAGTTTTCTTGGCAAGGTTTTTCAGAATTGGTTTGCCATTGCCTCCTTCCTGGTGCTGAGAGACAGTGGGTGGCCCAAGGACACCCAGCTGACTTCCTGCCTAAGGCAGGACTAGAACTCATAGTCTTCCGGTTTCTAGCCTGATGCCTTTAACCACTACACCAAACTGACTCTCATAACAGCTTTGCAAATCCTTAAAAATGGGCACTTTGGAACATACAGGAACATGGATGAAGCATCTCCTTTCAAATGGTTAAAGCCATCACATCTTTGTTCAGACTTGCATTATTGTTGCAAAAAGGGTTCCTGGCTTTCGCTGAAAGTTTGTACATGCTCAGTGAGCTCACTTTGCTGGGAAAAAAATGCCGTGCAGATTTGCAAAATCCTAATACATAATGTAAAGGGATTCTCTTTTTATTTTTTTGACCTTGAGGAACCTAGGTCAAAATGGAGGTTAGCCATTTTGACATTAGTAGTATTTTAATAACAAATACAAATTAAACAACAGCAGCAAAAGTTAACCTTTTCCCCCTCCAATTTCACAAATCAGAATTCTGCAGAGGTTACACGTACTGTAGATGCTGCTTGGGCAAGGAACCCCCTTTTATCCTGACCACCACTGATGCTTCATTCCAGCTCAGATGGGAGACAGGATTGTGAGCAGCGTATAATATCCAGAAAGCCATGTCATATTAAGGTAGCCATATAGGTGGATAGAGTATTAAAATAGAGAGGAAACAGTAGAGCATGCTGTTGGGAATCAGTCCTGTAGATAAGTAATCAGCCTGCAAGTACAGATAGATCTAGACTGCTAGGAATGGAATACTGGAAGCATAAATAGTCAGCAATAGTTTGGTTTCTCTAGAGCTTCAACTCTTTAGCATTTAGAGTGCAACTATCAGGTAACCGGAAACTAGACAGTGTAGCAGAAAAGACTCATGTTTATCCAGTATCGTGATCAGTGGAAAGCCCCTTTCCTGTTTCCTGAAATCATTTTGCAAGTGATTGTGTGAAGTTCAATAGACTCAGAGCACTTCTTTGAAGCTGTTGGATAGTTCTAGCTTTGAGCCATCGGCTTGTAGAACCTGGGAGGAAGTGCTCCAGATTTTTTTAGAGCTTGACCCAAACCACAGTCCTTAAACATAAAATATTTAAATGTATTGACAGTCCATTGCATTGATGAATTACTTTGGAATTTTTTGTATTGTGTAGTGGAAAAATGGTGAACAGCTTCACAGTTCTTATTCTATTTAATCTTATTTAAGCCTAGATATAATAATTTATGACGATTCAATCTAGATAAAAATCTTATTAAGTATGACATATTTTGGGTATTATAATTTTTATGCATACACATAAAGCCTGTACCTGACTTGAATATAAGAATACAACATGGGGCTTATATTAACTTAAGAGGTAATTACATTTTCATACAGGTCATTATTAGCTCCAATTTATAATTTTTATGTATCCCTCCATTTCATCACCTAGTCAAATATATTTCTGCAATTTGGGAGGCTAGAAATGTACTCTTTGAAGAAAGAAATAAGGGATATTGGGTATCTTAAAAATTCCTTGATTTCCATGTTGCTCACTCTTGATCCTGTTGTGTCCACATTTTATGAGGATGTTTTTCAGAAGCCACTTTTCCAATGATCTGTGCTTTTGAATTCCATCCTACCAGTGAATAAAACTGATTTGTAAATTAAGTGCTCATCATCATAAGGGTTTGCAGCAGTTTGCAAAGGTTTATGATTGCCCCATTAACAGCCAACGTTAACATTTCCCATGGCTACTTATAAATTCTAGCAGATGTAATGTAATGTAATCTGCTAAGCATAAAATTTGGAATGGTTTCTGTGACATTTTGCATTGTAACTAAATGTTTCCCATTGGGCTTGATTCCCATGATGGCAACTCCCTGGATGTTGAAACTCATTGTTAAAACAATAGTTTTATATGGCCTTAAAAAAAAAAATCCTGTATTCAATACTATCAATTGTATCTAATGTTGAGTATAATAATAAAGGAGGAGGTTAATGAATTGAAGTTCTTTCCCTATAACATTGGAATACTCTTGAAATAGAGGATTATCTGCTCTCTTAATTATCTGATTCCTGGTTGAAATTAAAAAAGGACTGTCATTCAAACCCACCCAACATTTGAACAATAATCTAATCCCTTAGTTCAAGTGAATTAAACAGCAGCAATTAGAATCACTGACACAGGGATACTTTAATTGCAATGAGAACGTGTGTGTGTGTATTCATGAGAACACAAAACCTGAAATGTGCTTGATTCTGGGAAGGAGTTGATCAGCTTGCGTGGAATATGATACGAGTCGCTCAAAAAGCGTTTACCACCTTTTAGATTTTCTGAATTTTGCATATTTTTGCCATTGAAAGTTATCTGAGCTTCGTATAAATCTTACTGGTATATAAAGGGAGTCTGGGTGACCAGATGACACTTAGGTTTGGTGCTTGTTTCATTAATTTCATAAACAAAAGTCATCCAAAATTCAGAAAATTTGGAAAGAATGTCTATGCTTTTTCTCACAAGTAAACATGTAGGTGGTACTGGCTATTAAACTGAGGTTAAGACTCCAATGATGGATCTTCTCAACAGCCAATTTAATCCACTGTCACTCCTTCACCATTTACATTCTAGCTTATATATTGAAACCTCAACCTGGCATGTTATGTAAACCTCAACTTTCTCAATCCTTGAGTCTAAAAATGTTTTACAGTGAAATGAAAGATAAATAGAATAAGGTATTTATTTTATTCAGCTAATAACTAGATCTGGGGAGTGTTTCACATTTGATCTATAAAAAGGTGCTTCAGAACATGCAGGAATACAAATGTGACATTTGTCTGTTTCACCTTACAATAGTCCCTTTTCCCAGGATCACACAGCAGCTGTGAAGCCAGCCATATGAATTTGGAAAAAGACCTAGCTGCTTTAAAGCATTGCAGAAAAAACCATACATTCTGGTTCCCACATGCTTCAAAGCCCTTTGGGAAGATCACATCTATGGCACATAGCTCTGTAAATGTAAATTTAATATTTTGTAGGGAGAATACTGCTAATAATTTGATTTTATTAAGCTGTTTGTTTTATTTCATCACTTCTTGAATTTGTCTGTGGTGCCTAATGAATGAATGGTTTACAGAATTGTTCTCTTTTCTATTTCATGATTCAATGCAGCTTCATAATCACCATGAAGGCAGGAATTGCTGTTTTCTATAACTTGGCTTTTTGTTCTGCAAAGCAGGTTGAATATAGAATGTTGACTGAGTTTTTCTTTATTTGTTAATATTCCCCAAATACATCAAGCCAAGCTCCAAGACCTTAAGACAAGGCATTGGAAAAAAGTAACAGATATAGCCATAATTATTTCCCTGGATCTTTCAGTGAATTAAACATATAGGTTCCACCTCTAATTTATGTAAGCGATAGTTCAGTCCCTCATCTTCTGATCTAAGTAGAATAATTTGTGTCTTCTTGGGAGGTAGAATGATCATGGCTTCCCTAAAGCAACTGTTCATGAATATCTATGTTCAGACTGCACCTGTTAAAAATGTGATATTTGATAGTTAAAGTAAAAGAGATGTGAAGGCTTCCTAAAATGTCATTTCTACTTCGGGAGGAATCTGAACATAAAATTCATATGGGGGAAAGTGTTTCAGATGTTTATCAAAGCACTGCTCTTATGAGTGATTAAGATATTTCCAGCCAGATAAGTATGGAGACCTTTATTTTATTTTAATTATATTTCAAATTTGGTCACTGCCCATCTCACTAGGAAGTGACTCTGGGCGGTTTACAGCAAAAACAAAAATAAATAAATAAATAAATATTAATTAAAATGCAATAAAAAGGCCATAAACCCCTTATTCATACAATAACAACAACAGCAACAACTTCCATCGATAGAAATGTTTTGTTACAGAAGGTCATGGGGACTCTGACAAGGTTGAAGAGTGGAGGCAAGGAGCTGAACTACTCGTTATGAAAGTCCATATCTTGATAACCTTAAGAACAACAGCGACAACGACGTACTCATGATATCAACAAAATAAATAAAATATCCTTGTTTTTTTCTTTTCCTCTTTCTGACAGACTGGTCTTTGCAAAGCTAAAACTCTTAATGATAGCCATAGAATACAAGTCAGAGAAACGGGAAAGTAGGTATGTAACAGTGTACCAAAACATTTTCATAATGCATCTTTGATCACTTGGCCTGCGTGAATTTCTTTCTTTCTTTCATTCTTTCTTTTCCTTTCTTTTTTTCTTGCTTTCTGGATGGGTTTTTTATATTTATAAAAGAATTTTATATTCCAGGCATTCTGGCATCATGGTGTCAACTCACATACCTAATCAAAAGGCAGCATCATGCCTCAAATTCCCATAAAACTGATGAAAAGAAACACTATTTTAATTTGTATTGCTTTTAAGGCAGATGGTTTCTGCTTGGTCCCCTGCACTAAGGAATGTAAGTTCTCAATTAAAATTAAACCTGGCCAGAGCTGATGAAAGATAACTTTAGAATCCTAAAATCCCAGTTTGGTTCCTCCCTAGAACTTATTTGTAGCCCGGTGCAATCTAACCAGTGTAAGTACTTCCAAATGACAGATGTAAATCTATACATAGGATTGATGCACTTTGAATCCTATGCAAAGCTTGCCTTGAAAGACCACAATCAGAGTGCTATAAGTATATTACCCCAGGCAAACAGAGAGATGAATTATAAAAATGTTCTGCCAGATAATTGTTCAAGTTCAACACGAGGCTCATCTATAGCTTGGTGTTTTGGTCCATTTGGAATTTTTGACATTTTTTAAAAAGACAATTCTAACTTAACTCCTTTTCCCATCGTAAAAGATAATAATCTAAGATAGTTATCATTTCTGCTAAAAGATTCCCAGCCTCTAAAGATGTGAGATCCTGATTTGTGTCATGCATTTTATTCCATCCATCCTTCTTCAAAGCAGAACACAGCTGGATTCTGGATATGTTTGCTCTTATTCTTAACCTCCCACTAATTTTATTCTCATGACAATCCTCTGTTTTAAGCTAAACTGAAGAATAGTGACTGACTCATGGCAATAGAATGAGATTTATGACTGAAAGGAACTTGAATAGGTCTTCCTATTCTAAAAGCCAAAGATATGCACTATCTCCCTTATGGGTAGATTATGACTGTGAAAATAGTCAGGAAAAATGGAAGCCCACATACTGTGGACATCCCCATCTCCTCAATGCATCCTGCCGAGATTGTCACCAAATCCAATATTCCAATGAACTCAAGGAGAAGGCATCTCCTAATTCCATTTTATTGAAGTTCTTCATTAACCTTACACTGCCCAGAGTCGCTCTGCAGTAAGATGGGCGGTGACAAATTTGAAATATAAATAAATAAAAATAACATAAAAATAAAATTTCTAAGATGCATTATGGAATTGGAAGATCCGCAGATTTCATATCTTCAGTTCATTGGTGTCTTCTGTCCTGCTCTATGATAGCTAAGAAAGTATTTAAAACACACACACACACATTTTTTTCCCCATACGATCACACTCTTTTTCCATTTTTAAATAGCATTACTAACCTTATATATTGTTATATAGCTGCCCATCTCACACAAAGCGACTCTGGGTGGTTTACAACAATTAAACAAAATAACAAGTGGATCAAAACAAGCATTTTAAAAAGATAAACAGTTATTATTAAAATAAAAATGTTATCACACCTTTTTTAAAAAATTAGATTTTAAAATATACAAACCCCATGGAAAGTATGGCAAAGCTTCATTCCCCCCCAACCCCCCCGGCAGACTCAATCATGGCAGAGGTTCCTTTATTGCTCTCAGTGCCACCGAACAGATTTTTAAGTGAATCAGGTCCAAGTTTGATCCAACTTCTCCCAAGTTTATCTCCATTAATATTCTTGACATCCTCCCTCCTGTTTCACAGTCCAAGGCCCCTGTGGAACAAAGTTTTTTCAGCTTCCTTCCTTCAGATTCTTCTCCTGCTCAGTGGGAGAAGAATTGCTGACTTTAGTGGCTGATGTATCCTGTCCATATTCTGAGGAAAGTAGGTGTTAGCCAGGGACCAGGGACATTTGGTAGCACAGCTGACATCACATCACAGTTATCTCACAGAACTGGTCAAACTTTGACCTATTGATGTGAATGGGGAGCATTTTTCAACATTCACAGAGTCAAAGATGAGTACAAAATGAGAGGAAGTACTTTACACAACCTGAAACGGATCCTTTGAATTGAACATTTCAAATGAAGAGTTTCTCAGATATAACTATGTTGCTGGTCCTGCATACAAAGATATCCTAGCATCAGGTGAAATTTAAACATAGATCAGTTCTAGGACACCCAATTTGCCCTCATCATTTTTGAAAATGATTTCCTTTCTCCAGATTACTGATTTTTTTGCCCCATATCAGTTTTTTTTCTTCATTATCATACGTGCTTTATGAAAACCCAGATTCAAATTTCCTAGTTATGCCAAGGTTTATAGCAATAAGAACCCTGTTTAGAAATTTGCATCTCCTGTAACAAACAATATGCAAAAAATTTCACGTGACCCCAGATATTTGTTTTATGTTATTGAATATTAATATCTAATTTATTTCAGAGGCATCCCATTTGCCAGAACCATGAACTTCAGCATTTTCAGCACTTCATTCAGGAGTACATTCAAAATAAAGACTGGCACTCAGAAACTCCCTTGATACAATATAAATGGAAAGCCAAAACTTGATTTTTACCCATGCTACTCATTATAGAATGGGTAACAAACACAAATGAAATATTGAATACAATTGCTTGCACAAGATTCATTAGCGCTTATATTCATGAATTCCACCTCTGTTTCTCTGCAGTAATTTCTTTTGTTGCAAATTACTAATATGTATAACAGTCACCATTTCCCTTTCAGAAGTACTGGACAATCTATCTCCCCTTTAATTTAATGGAACCTTTTGTGCCCTTCAAAAGGACTTGGAGGTTACATACTAGAATAGCCTCTTATAGATTAGGGGGGGATCCAGAGGATTTACGCAGATAAGGATTGTTCCTAGAATTGAAAGAGTGGTTTGCATATAAAATTTGCATTTAAATTCTGATAAGTAGAACTGAGGTCATTAATCACTGATACCTTAGTCATATCAATGCTCCTTTTCAACAGTAACAGCATATAGTTGAGGATGGAATTGTGGTCCACTGAAATCTTTGCTCAGACAGAAATGATGTGTCTGAAACAAGGAACAGTCCTGACATCATAGCCCACAGGAATGCACTCTGACTGACACTTTGGGGAAGATGTGTTGCCCATCATCCTCACCCAAAGAGAACTAAACAAATGTATGTACTGTGAAAATGACAGCAAAATCGGTCCTTCTTCCGATTTCTCACAAGTTGGATGTGGACCTGGAAACCAAGATATTCTGCTGAAATCCTTTACTTTTAGGGATAGGTTTTACTACTGTTTCGGCGAAAAGGGATTTCACCATGCCCTGCAGTATTCTGCAGTTTGAATTAAATCAGCCCACCTTGCTGAACTTTGTAAAAAAATACATTTCATATGCCTTTGATGTCCTTGAATTTTTAAGAAAAAGTAAAAACTAAAACATCCCTGGTAAGAGCACTCTTGGAGGAAAGTTTCTAAAATAATGATCATTCCATATGATCCCTTTAAAAGGCCACAATCTCTTTCCTCAAATTCTAATTTGGTGGTGACTTTATTTATTTATTTGCCAGATATAATAAAAATGGAAAAATAGTTAACATTCTTCTCTCATACCCCAATGTTTATCCCTCTGTTGGACCTTCTCCTTGTCTCTCCATTTTATTTGTCCTCATTCACAGCAGAAATCCC